AAAAAAATTTTACTAAAAATGATTTGTTTCTTTTTTACTAACTTATCTCTATATATATTTTTTTTATATAAAGTAAGACAGATTCGAATTTTTTATTTAAATTTTAATTACTAATTCTATTTTTTATACACTAAAAAAATAATTTTTTATATACTCTAATATATAATAACAATAAGATTATATTAGAGTACTTTTAAATATCTAAATTAATAGATCAAATTTTAGTTTTTAATTAATAGAAAATTGATCAAGCAAGTTTATTATTGCAAAAAAAAAGATAATTAGAAACCATCTTTTTATTAGAGTTGTGTTGCTTGGCTAAAATTTAATTTACTATAAAGATTACTTTAGGTACTTGTGCACAATCTCTATAACTAGCTAATTACATTAAAAAAATACTTGAGAGCATATTTAATCTAATCTAAAAGTACAAACATATTGTTATTATTAACTATAATTAAATTTTTATAATGAGGTAATTGAGTTACAACTATCATATAAATATATTTGTATTTCTAAATCTAAGCTAATATGTATTAATATTTATCAACTAATTACTATCTCTAGTATTTATTTTATATGCAAATAGAAAAAAATAAAACAATATTGATCTAATTTGCATTAACTATATTATATATAGTTGATATTTTTTTGATTTTACTATGAAATCCCAAAAGATATATTTTTGAAAGTAATATAATACTGACAAAGTTAGATAGTATCAGTTATAATACTAGCTATATTTTTGAAAAATAGCTTTGGATATTAGGGTAAAACTATTTTTCTAGAATCTAAAATACTATAGAGAGTAAGGTTTTACAAAAATTACTAAATATAAAAAAATTTGCAAGAAAGTCAAAAATAAGCAAACTATTTATTATAAATAAAGATTATTTAAAGCTATATTTATCATATAACCTAAAGTCAATAGAATTATTTATTTTGATTGATACAGATCAACCCAAAGTTACAAAAATAGTAAAAAAATAAAAGTCAAAAAATACATGAAACAATAGTCTAAACCTATTTTGGTACATTAATAAAAATGTCAGAAAAACAATTTTACTATAAGATATGCTCTGATCCTAATTCCAAACTAACCCTTACTCTAACTTTAATTAAAAAATAAAATATATGACTGGACGTAGCTTTAGACATCTCTATAAATAGAAATAATCTGTATAAAAAATATCAAAAATAAGCAAACTCTAATCTGATCTATCTATATATATTTCTGGTTCTATTTTTTTGCACCCTAACTGATTTAATATATCTTTATGATAGACTGAAATCCTCTTTATTATTAAAAATGCATTTTACAAGAGTATTAACAGAAAAAAAATGCTGTATCTTTATTCAATCATAAATTTTGAAACATCTGGTAAAAAATTGACTGAATGATTGCTTGGCTGATTTGATAAGATTCAGTAGTGATAAACTTTTATTCTGGGGCATGATTCATGAATATTTTAATATGTAACAACAGTATTCTGAACAGTATTACAATGTTAACATATTCAAGATTAAGTTCTCACTTGAATACATTCCCAGCATGTTTAGTGTGTTGAGTCTATGCGAAAATTATACAGATTTTCTTAAACAAAACATAAAAATAGTTTCGAATATACAGTAAAACAAGACACTAATAAAAAAGTTCTAACAATAAAGGATATATTGACTGGATTAAAAAAAATATATGGTGTAAAATTCTAAATATCCAATATTTTATTAGTAAAAATTTAAGTTTTGTATTATATATATAGATATTATAAAATATAGGTCAAAAAGAGAATCAGCATAAATTAGTGAAAGTATTGAACGATAGATTTAAAACTAAAGAACCTTTAGCTTGTTCATCTATAATAACCATTTTAAAAACGCCTAGCTTGCCTGAAGTAACCGCTGTTAAATTAAAATATCTGACTTGTCAACATTTTCAACGATTATATACTGAATGTGTAATTTTAAGATACTCAAAATTTTCGATTGATGCTCGAATAATTATTCATCATCTACATCTATATGTCAGGCAACTACTAAATACTGGCACGTGCCAGGCCAATATTGGCACGTGCCCAGGCAAATATTGGCATGTGCCAGGCAAATATTGTTAAAGACTGGCACGTGCCAGGCATAATACTGATACCGAGTGCCTAAAAAAGTTCTGGCATATTTTAGACTGGCACAGTATGCTATTTTTGTCTCGGGTTTGCAGAACCCTAGAAATGTAATTGTCTCGATAAAAACAATTTCCATGCTTAATAACGTACATAATAAGCAGTATTACCATATAATTTATCTATACGTGATCTATATAAAGGAAATTTATATAATAACGGTATGAGGGCGCTTGTATTTTAATTTGCTGAAAGTTATACATAAAAAATTTAGTTTACCATCCTATGTTTACGAGAATTGAATAGCATACAATCTGTATGTTGTGACTTCTTGTTCGTGCTTATTTCCACCAATTTAAACATTCACCATGCCTGACAGTAACAAATAAATAAGTCAAATACACCAGATCTTTGATATTTTTCATTAAATGGATATGTTGTACGTCAGAATAGAATTGTTAAATTTAAAGACTTAGAATCTATTTAGGTTGAAACAGAATTTTAAAGGCAACCCAAGTTGATATGAAATCTAAAAGCAACTTAAGTAGTTTCTAAATTTGATATCGATGTTGTAAGTGGGAACAGAAATTAAGTGGATTTAAAATTTACTAAGTTTTTTAGGTTAGGGTGTAGGTTTATATAAAATACATTATACCCAAAATTATAATTTTATTAAGAAATTCCAAATCCATCTAAATTCCGTTCTCACTTACAACACTGATACTGTAATAAATATAACCGATTGATGCAACAATAGTTAAAGTATATTACATCTTACCATTACAATAAATTGGCAAATATTTTTATTATCGTTCGTCATAAGCACACGACAATGATTACGATGTAGTGCAATACAGCAATATGGGACTGGGGGTCGCCCGCACAAGTTAACGAGCCGTTGCTGAGTATCGGCATGTTTCTCAGAGGTATAAGTAATGATTGGCTATACATTATATCCTATATTAAGCCCTTTTAAATTCTGCTATCATTGTCGGCCACACAAATGTCCTCTGGTCTGCTAAATTGTAAATCCTTTTTTTTTTTTTTACGAATAGCTCTCCATTTGTGCCCCTAAACTTCAGTGTTAAGTCCATGCCTAATGCAGGGCGACACCTTCTGATCTGCCAAATTGTGAACGGCTCTTCATTCGGGGTCTCAATAGCAGTTTCCAAGTGCAACATTTCCACTAAGACTATTACACATCCATTTTGATTACCGGTCTCTGTATCAGGCTCTTTTAAGTTTGTTACCATTGTTTGCTATACAATGCTCTCTGGTCTGCTAACTTGTAAAATTTTCTTTTTACAAACAGCTCTCTATTCGAGTCCAATAAACACTAGTGCTAAGTCCATGCCTAATGAAAAATGATACCCTCTAATCTGCCAACTTGCGGACTAACACAAATGGCTCTTTGTTCAGGGTCTCAAGGATTCATTAACAGTTTCCAAGTACAAATATTACACCAGAATTACCTATTTTAACAAAATTTTTATAATAGATAAATGGTTTATTTTCATCCTTCTCAACCCAATTTCATTTTGATAACAGTTACCAAGTGCAACAATTCCACTAGAATCACCAATGGCCTCTTTGTTTTTTTTTTAAAAAATATTTGAATGTTATTTTCATTTCTTTTTAGGATCACATCTATTTTGATAACTGGCTCCTATATCAGGCCCTTTAAGTCTCTGTTACCATTGTCTGTCACGCAAAGCTTTCTGGTCTGCTGACTTGTAAATTTTTCTTTTTACAAACAGCTTCCATTCAAGCCCAATAAACACTAGGTTAATGCTATGCCTAATTCAAAATAATACTTTCTGGTTTGTCAACTTGTGATCTAACTTAAATGGCACTTCATTCTGGGTCTTTGGGATGGGTGGGAGGGAAGCTGGATGTTTCTGTTGAGCAGAAAAACTAAGTGAGGATTCAGAAAAACAAATGTGCGCTCTTAAATGGGACCGTATTATTTCACCCAACAATCACTTCATCGACAGCTCATTTAGCCGACATCACCCCAGATGAAATTTAGTAAAAATATATACCTGTAACTTATCAAATGCTTAACTCTAACCCAATGTGATGTCGGCTAAATAAGCATTTGGTAAAGTGACAGTTGGTGAATCATAGGAAGAAGGGATGTTCTATAGAATAGATGACAAACTCCGCAACTTCGCTATTAAAAAATTAATAATTACTAATCATTAACGAAGCTTATTTCTTATATTGCCCACCTATAGAATATCCGGAAGGAGTTCGTCTAATTGGCTAATTTTTATGAATCTACCCATGATCACCCGTGATAATTAACCAATCAAATTACGTAATTTTAAAAAATTCATCGCTTTAATACTATATACTAAAAAACAAAAAAAACTTCATATAAAGTTTATAAATTAATAAATATACAAAAGAATTAATTTATTTTAAATATATAGAAGATAGATCGATACACATAAAGTGGAGTAAAAATAGTATTCATTATTAATAAACCCAAATTCATTAATATAATCTATAAACCAAAATTTATTACGATTAACAGACCAAAACACAATGCAAGAACCAAGCATATTCAAGTATTAAACCCAGAACTTTTTTTACAATAAACCTATTCTTGTTCAAATTCAATAGTTAGTTAGTAATAAAAGTTTTTCAATATAATTTGAGATTGTCCAATAAATAGACAGTATATTTTGTCTTCTAAGCAAAGTCCATGGGAAATAAGATCGTTTTTAGATTCTTTTGCACAGTGAATTTTGGAATTATTTTTTTTAGCAAAACATTGTGCTACCAAAAAATACTTTAAAGTGTATAAATAAGTTACCCGGGCAATTGATTTACATTAGCCAATCAGACGAACTTCTTCCTATGAATTATACATAGCAACCGCATAAAATGTTCTCGTACACGTGATTTCTAACCAATTACAGCACAGGATCAGGTGTAACGTGAAACAAAAACTGCCGGCTTTTTCAAAAAAATCGTCCATAACTCAAAATTTTGACTATAAAACCACCTTCTGCGCCCTAAAAAAAAAAAATTTCTTGCAAAACTTTGCTACTGTATATATAATATCCTTTTTACTATTATCCCAATGCCCACCTTACCCTAACGTTGAAAGTTAATGTTTTAATCGAAAAATACGATGACGATCTGCAGCCAATGAAATTATTGCGAATTTTTATGCGGTTGCTATGTATGATGGCGAAACTTTTGTTGGCTACTGTAAGTGTATTTATCGATTTAATCAACATAAATGTTTTTTTAATCAATTTAAATTATTTAATCAGCGATATGAATGATTCAGATGAAATATTCTGGCTTGGTTATTGTTACGAATATGGGATTGGGGTGGAAAAACGGCAGAGGTGAATAATCCTAACGGAGCGTATCAAGTTGGTTATTGCTATTATTTAGGAATTGGGAACGAAATAGATAAAGAAAGCATTTATGTATTATCTGAAATCAGCTGAAGCTGGTAATTTTTTTGGAATTTTTAAAACCGTCGTTGTTATTGTCCGAAGGACATTACAGGTAGAGCGATAGTACATCCGATGTCTGTGTGTTAGCAAATTCTGGATTGTGATT